TCTTAACTTAAAAATCCCGCAAATGTTGCCATATCCGGAAAATTATTTCCAAATAATTTAGTTGGATCCATTGCAATTTTTTCAGAATATTTCAAACACCTGCACAAAAATTTGTACGGAATTCAAAATATTGGTCCAATTTCCCCCAAACCCAATTCACGATTCCAGAGTTGGCTCTCGCCAATGCTTGAGGGTGTTTACCGGTCAAAGATCCTAGATATTCCGGGTGAATGATTCCGTCACTTCCACACAAAATTTTCCAATGACTCAGAGCTAGCAAGACAGATATGAAGTTGGCTGCAGGGTGTGCCCCCGCTCTGTCTTGGATTTGCATTCCATCCTTTTCTGGATTGGGCTCTCTGCTGAGAGCCATTGCTCGGCTGCTATTGCAATGCAATCCATTGCGATGAGATAACAATCAACTAACGGTGGCGGGAAGACCAAAGGGCTGAGCGTAGGAGCGAGGGCTAGAAGCTGCCTGATTTAATGACCAATAAACAGTCCAGGATTGGTTATGTCGCTTTCTCGCGACATAACATAGCATAAGGAAAATTTGGTAGCGTGACGTGGGAAATGGCAACATATGAGTGTTTGAAGGTCAAAGATCAGAATTTTGTGAGAGCGTACATTTTCATGGTCTAAAAAATCATAAGTTCTATTTTCATCTTCATGACATGATGCTCATATTCAAATGGCCAAAAGCAAAGATTAGCATCAGGAAATATACAAACGGGAATTTTTGTAGAATTTAGAGATCAACAGTAAAACTCTAGGAAATATCTAAGAAAAGTGAAATCTAAAAAAACATATAAAACATTTTCCAGACAAACGAAATTCTTTCTAAACCTTTGAATTAATTCTTGGCAAAAAATCAGACAGGTTCTACCGGAAATGCGGAAATAAATGACTAAAAAAAGAAAATATTTCCAAGGCAAATTTTTTACAGGCAGAAAGAAATTTCGGATGCAAATTATGTTGCGAAATTATAATTCAAACATAACTTTCCCTACAATTTTCTATAGAAAATTCTAGGAAACACAAAGAAAATTGAAAATATATCTTTTGATGAGTTTGTCGTGGGCGAAGTTAAACTTTTTGTGACGGAAAATTTCTCAAAGCCATTCGTTAGCGGAAAACACATAAAACCACCTTTTATTTTATGCCTTGACTAATGATTACTAAAATGACGCGTCTTACCAAAGCATTACTCAATTATCACACAAATTATCGATTCAGTCTGATATAAATTTAAAAAAGGAATTATAACGGGACAAAAAACGCTGAAGGAATGCAAAATCAAAAGGGCCGTGTCCTCATCATAACGGAAATATTAATAAAATAGTCACTTTGCGGAGGAATCGAGAACAGTCGAAAATGAAAAACGAAATGAGCGGTGAGGTGATAAGAAAGCGGCGAGAACGGCGCTGTTTTAAAATGACATACAAATTCAAAAGCAACAAGACGAAGAAGACAAGAACACATTTATTTTTAAGGTATCATGGGTGGAATTTAAGAAGAAGGAAGAATTGCAAAATCCCTAAAAGAATTCGAGGAATGCCAAATAATAGTATTAGAAAGTGGACTATAGGAGAGGCAGCTGAGAACCAGCTGATTCAAAATTTGGAGTTGGAACAAAACAAGCGTAAAAACTTTTGAATTAGTTTTTCGTTGATTTTTTCGGATGTTTTTCGCGGATTTTGTCTTTTTACTAAAAAGACGAAATCCACTATCGACATGCGAAGGCCATGTCCAAGATTTTTCGATTGTATTTTAGCAGACCTACATATTTCGATACTAGGGGGCCAGTACTGGCTACGCCAGTAGCAGAGTTCACCTTCATCCTAGCTCTCTTCCCTTAAAGAGTTGTTCGGGAGTAACTTTTTTGGGGCTATTCCGGGATGAGGGCCTTCGGCCCTCATACCGGAGAAATAAGCACTGGTCAGAGTGACCCATCCAAAAATTGGGTTGGGCCCCTCAAAAATTTGTAGTTTGTAGTCAAAAAGCGTTACGCAAGGATAAAATTGGGGTTTGGTCCTTCACTTTGTCTAAATTTAGCTAAATTTTGACCTCAAATTCGGATTCCCCGCTAAAAGTTACTCTAAAAAGCTAGATTTCAAAATTAAGCACCCCTAAGAATGCACCTCTGAAAATCGATTAAGCACTGGTAAGAATGACCCCTAAAATCCATGGAAAATAACACATACCGTAAATCCTCTAATAAGTCCCTCCCCTCAATTAAGTCCCTCCCCTCAAATAAGTCCCCCCTCAAACAGAATGCCAAACGTACTTGCGGTCTCGCCCGAAAAAACTAAGTGCATATTCGTGTAGATCTTCGAGTTACGTAAGAAAAACCCCAATGCCAAAACTTTGTCATTGAAAATATCGGAGAAAATTGACTTTGAAATTTGAAAATTTTTTTGAAAACCCTTACGAAACAATAAGTCCCCCGGGGGACTTATTAGAGGATTTACGGTATTTATTTTTAGAAATGTTTCCAAAATGTTTCATAGCAACACTTGCGTCGTTGGTGACGAATCATCATTTTGGCTCATCGTCTCGCTTATTCCCACAATTTTTGACTCAGTTCGAAAAATTTGATCTTAGGTAAATAAAAGATAAAATAACTGATTGGGTGTAAAAAACGAAGGAAAATCGTCAATTTTTGGGCCATAGAAATTGGAAACGTTTTATCGAGGCATGTGCAATTATAACTTTGTGTATAGTTTGAATGTAATTACATACCATAAAGGGGCATCAACATCCACAAAGGTACTAACAAACAATAAAAGTCAAAAATAACAGACAATTCACAGCTGATTTCCCAAAATCCGGATTGAAACGTCACACAGAGTCAATCACAAATTCAATTCAATTTCACGCCCTCCATTATAAAAGACCTGAACCAAAGGACAAGGACAGGTTGCAGGGCAAAATGAGTCAGACAATTACAGGAAGCACACCTTTCCCACAGATGAGCGCCTGGGCCGACAGTGCCCCTTCCAGGCCTTGCTGCCACAGGAGAGAACCCGACAGGCGAGCGTAAGGCCTAACAGGTGAAGTGGACCTACCTGGCAAATGTTGTGAGGTTGCCCCTAAAATAGCTGGCGGTTGGCCCGCAGCAACCCACGCCGCCCCCACTGTATGGATTGAGTGTCTTCCAAGCGTCTCATCAAAGGGCTCCTAAATGTGGAAATAGGCGCTCTATTGTATGCCCACTGTCTGAGTGCTCTGAGCGAAGAGCTGGGAAATGCTCTGAAGCAGGAATGTCTTTGATTTGAGAGAGAGTGTACTATTTTGTAGGGCAGAGAAGCAGAGAATGACAAAGTGAAAATGCGGAGGGAAACGTCAGTGTGAATGTCACTGCTTTCCCTTCCATAATAAAACTGTTATGTACAAAAGGCGGCAGGCAGCTGCTGAAATGAAAGGGGAAATGCATGGACTACTAGACGGGCTCTAGGAATAGGGTCCAGGATTTGCTTAGAAAAGAATACATGTAATTTTATGGAAATTTTGGATTTCATGTTTAGAAAATTTGGAAGAAAAACAAGTGCTAAAAAGAAAAGGCGTCTTTTAAATATGTATTTGGGAAAATGTGACATGAAGTTCTTTTGCGGAGGCACAGGTACTGATAATAGGCCCAGTCACAAGTATCAGCATCATTTCAAATCGAGTGCGGTTTTCGATTCTGACAGACAATAAAGGCAGCTACCGAATTCCTGAAGATAGGCAAAATTTACCACAATCAAGAACTTATGACGTTTCTGGTTAAAATTTGGCCAGAAGGTGTTTGATATTTTACATATTCAGGTGTTTGATATTTTAGACAAGCCATTCGCTATTTTTTCAAATGTACTAAAAATTCTCTCACATAACCACGGCCCATAAAAATGTAATTAATCCCAGAGTGCAAGATATATAACCGCGTCCCATATAAGGAGTGATAATATGGCAAACATATGATTTGGACTGTAAACCACGCACGTAATCTGGATATAGAAAAGAGACATTGAAAAGGTAAGCGAGGGGCGCACTTCACCTTGAAAACTAAGAGAATTCCACAGAAGAACACACAATCAAATGAAAGGATGCGACCAATGAAAAAACCAAACCGCTAAACCGCCACGCGCTTCTCCTTCTGCCACAAGGGAACGCCCTCCTTTGAAGTCAGTTATGTTCAACAAAGGGCTCTGGAGATGCTGCAGGTGGGTCCAGGAAATCCGGTTTGCCTAGGCGTTACGTCGCCTTAGTCTTCACTTTGGGCCTGCTCCAGATAATCTCAATGATTGCGCAGTCCAGGCAGTGCTGGTCGCTAATCGCATTTTTGAGGTGTTTGTTCTTTGCAAACAAGGAAAGGTAATTAATTGGATTAGAATGTGGAAGAGAACTTGCGGAAAATAATTGATAACATCTTACCTCTCTGACTGGGTGGTCTAAATGTATTTGTTTATTTCGTTCCTTGTATCAAATTTATATATTTTTTTTGTACCGAACAAGCCAGTTTGGCTCAAGAACTTCTATGGCGGATTTTGACAAAAAATAACGAATTTTTGGCATTTGTGAATAAAATGTGATCAAAGAAAGAAACAAATTTAGGCGGAAAAGTCACCACGAAACAAAGTGATAACGTTTTGTTTACTTTTTGGAAGATTTTTTCTCTTCTTATTCTAGCTACCTGAGCAGAATATTGTCGTAATCTTTTTTCTTTTATGGTCTGTTTATCCGTTTGTGACCACCGCTAGGGGTGGTTTAAATTTTGGCACTTGCGTAACAGAACGCCAATGCTGATGATAGCCGTGAGGCGGCCGAAACACAATATTTTATCATTGTTTATCATTGGACAAATTCACGTTTAACTGAAGATGTGGACACGATCACCACATTCCAACGTGAATTTTTGTATATATTTCCACAGTTTTAAAACAATAATTTAGCTATGTCTAGGCGCAGTCCAAAAAATACAAAAGGGTTTGTATTTTTGGAATAATATTTTTAAAAAATTTAGCCCGAACGGGGATTCAAACCCCGGACCCTCAGATTAAAAGTCTGATGCTCTGTCACTGAGCTATTCGGGCTAGTGTTTTTAAAAGGCTGATTCTCATATGCGTTCGTGTCCTTTTTGAGCGAAATTTCTTTCTTTATTCTTCTTTCTTAATACATTTCTTTTATCGAACAAATTTATTTCCATTTTTTCTTTGGTAATTAAAAGTTAAGTTGATTCAAATTAATACTCGAACAGCAGCCTGGGGCCTAGGGCACTAACGTGAAATCTTGACATTTTGACATGAAATCGTGAAATATCTCTAAGCGAAATTGTCTGGCTCTTCTTCTTTCCATTGTGCGTCTTTGTGTGTCTTTGTCTGCCTACTTCACTTCAAAGAGAGAGACGCAGAGGAACGCCACACACTAGCACCGAATTGATATGCATTTTCCAATGCATATGCAATGGGAAATAACCAAAGTCTCTCTTCTTTTATTATTGAAATTTTGATAGCAGAGGCGACGGGCTTCAAAATGTCAAGAATTAATTCTATAAAATTAATCTAATTTTTGGATATGATGGCTATAAATGTGACGTGATATCTAGATTCAACTTTTCATGAGGATTCCGACACATTTTTCAGATTTTTTTCATGCTTCGATTTTATGCTTTAAAAGTCGAAAATTTCAATATGTCAAGATTTCATTTCAAAATTTCAAAGGGCAGAGAATTTCAACGCAGACAAAGAGAGATGCACAAAGACGCACAATGCAATGGAGAAGACCCAGACATTTTCGCTTAGAGAGAAATGTCAATATGTCAAGATTTCATGTTAGTGCCCTAGGCCCCTGGCACCTATACGCTTGAACGTATATGCTTATGTCTGATGATACAGAGCGTGGGCTACAGCACTTTGACGTGTGGAGAAGTTTGCAGCTAAATTTTCTATAGGTGCAAGCTTATGTTGAACTTATAATGAATGACTCAAATTGCGAAAGAATTTGCTCAACTCAATGCTGTAGTATGCCAAATAAGTTCACAGGACTTCGTTTCGGATCATTTTACCATTTTTAGGCGCGCAAATTTAGAATCCGAACATTTTTCAGCTGGCACTCCTTATGGATTCCCAGAACAAGTGGGAAAAAGTGGCCACTGAATCTGCTAGGCATGCAAATCGATTGATAAAATCGGGCATCATAGCCCATCAATCTTTGTTTTCATTTTGTACAACATTTTTTAAAGTTATTTTACACATTCCAAGAATTTTTATTTTATGGCTGTTTTTCCATTTTTCCATTTATCTTTTTTCTTTCTAAAATTCTTATTTTCAAGATTTAAGGTAGCTCATAAAATTCAACAACCTTCTAATAGTGGCAGTTTTAAGGGGTTTTAGATTGAGATTATGTACCATTATAAGTTTTCAACCCCGCTTATCCCAAATTTGAGATATTTTTGGAATTACTGGAATATTCGAAACAAGAGATGGTTAGTAAAATTTTTTATTATATTCAATCAATATGTATGTTACAATTAAATTTGTCACTAACTCGTTGATCTTGACGTGACTCGGGTTCCGGTCCGAGTCAGTTAGGTCAGTTGTGAAAGAAAGTCATAAAACATAGAAATCTCTAAATTTTTTAAGGAGTTTTTTCAAAATTTTATTAATACCGTTAATACAGTTTTTACAGTTTATTGATCATCACAGATTCTCTATGTGCTTGAAATGAGTAAAATATATTTTTTGGATCCGATCTACGATTCTTCTTAGATTTTTTATATCTTAGAGCATCTCAGATGTTAGAAAAAGATTTTTAAGGTATTTTCGTTGGCGAAAATTCTATTTATGTTTTTTAAGCAATAATATTTTTTGCTCCGTCATAATATGTTATAAATATTTTTTAGAATTTTTAAGTTTTTAAGCTGGTCGACTCTTCACTCATACGTAAACGGTCTATTAATATCACTATGACACGTGAACAAACAGCTTAATCCTTATAGGAAATAAAATTTCCAACTTAGTTTTGAGCGTAAATAAGACGTATCCGTACTTTTATGTCACTTTTTTAGCCTGCAATCAATTCAAGAAACGGCGTGGACACAAATAACCAAGTTTGTAATGAATACAAGCACATCCACGCACGTCTAATCCGCGGATTATAGTAATAGAGAGGGAAGTTAACATTAATTTCGTGAGTGTTATCCTCTTTATTTATTGAGACTTAAGGCTTCTGAGGGTTGGAAGATATTTTTGCCTCAAGAGTGCATGGATTTGCACTTCAAAGGATTTTCGGTATGTCCGCCCACTTTTTATCGGCTAAATCTCAGACTATGCGAGGGTTGACAACACAGTAAACGCCCGTGCGATGTCATATATAAGCCATGAACTGCATCGGATAGTATCATTCTAACAGTCACTCGAAAAACGCCTCAGGAAACAGAAATTATTGCCCACATTCAAAGCCAATTTCTCAGGAAAAATTTTACTAATCTCTGCCGATGAAGCCAATCTACCTGCAAATTTCACTTTCCTTATTCATCTACCTCATTTATTTGTGCGCATATGCTACTCCACTTCCGTGGTTACCTGCCTATATCTCATTATCCATGATAAACGTGGAGAGAAGAAACAATATTAACGCTGAAGCTAAGTTGTATGGCAATCTGCAGGAAAATAAGTAAGCAGTTGTATATATGTATAGCGGTGATGTAGCTGAAAGCATGGTGGGGAAATTCGATAATTGCAAAGGAAGGCTTCATCGAAGCTTTATCGAAGTTTTCTAGTAAGCGCGAATCGCCGGCCACTATTTCCTGCTGTTTCCCAGCTGCGCGCATTCGTTTCCCTCGTTGGAAAGACAACAACGAATGCGCGCAGCTGGGAAACAGCAGGAAATAGTGGCCGGCGATTCGCGCTTACTAGAAAACTTCGATAAAGCTTCGATGAAGCCTTCCTTTGCATTTATCGAATTTCCCCACCATGGCTGAAAGTGATTTTCAGTTTAATATAGCAAAACGGTGTCAACAAGCAAGCTGAATAAGTCAGCAAAAAAAATTTAATGATCTGTTCCAATTTTAAATAAATTTAATTTCTTCTTCAGAATCGTCCAAAAAGCATTGGCTTGGCATCGATTCATATACGAGTTCCAACGGCCAAGACTAAACTTACTAAAGACCAAACAAAAGCGGTATCCAGGAAGGAAAATATATCCAAGAATATGTTACTTTTCACCAATACAGTGTGAGTTTTGGGATTGAACAATTAATAAAGGAACAATGCACAACTTTTAAAGATAATATTTTTCCCAAGCGGTTTAAATTTTAGATTGAAATAAGAATAGGAGCATATAGTCTAGAAAATAATAATTTGTCCTTTATATGTAAAAAGACAGCGCAGAAAATGGGGAAATTTTTCCTCGAAAAGGGTTCAAATTTGGAATTAATAATCGAAAAACGACGCGGTGGTAGGGACGTTCACGAAAAAAAAACCAGGCATGGTAGCGCGGGAAAACCAAATTTGAATTCAACAATTTTTTTCTCAATTTTTTACCGTGTTCGGCTATTTTCTGATTGTTCCTACCCCACCGGACCGGGGTACGATCTATCGATTGGCGCTATCAAAATATGGTGTATCGCCACAAAAATGGGTGGTTTACCCTATTTTTTCGAAATTTCGCAACACCTATTGTGAAATAATGTAAAAATAGGGTAAACAGTGCAGCACAGCACACCGGACCGGGGTACGATCTATTGATTGGCGCGATCAAAATAGAGTGTATCGCCACAAAAATGGGTGGTTTACCCTATTTTTTACTTTCGCAACACCTATTGTGAAATAAGGAAAAATAGGGTAAACAACCCATTTTTGTGGCGATACACCCTATTTTAATAGCGACAATCGATAGATCGTACCCCGGTCCGGTGGGTAGGAACCCCTAGCGCAACCAGAAACTCTGTGCTCTGATTTGGTATCTTCTACACTGTGTGCTATTTCTTTGTTAAAGCCAAAAAAAGCGGGTCACCGGCAGACACAACAATGATAAACAGATAATTTTTCAAAAGCGAAAGAAGCTCTAGAAATTTCTCTATCTTCTTTTCTAAGCTATGATTAACCATTGTTGTGTCTGCCGGTGCCCCCCTTTTTTTAGCTTTAACAAAGAAATAGCACGCAGCAAAGAAGAGACCAAATCAGAGCACAGAGTTTCTGGTTGCGCCACTGGTAGGAACAATCAGAAAATAGCCGAACACGGTAAAAAATTGAGAAAAAACTTATTGAATTCAAATATGATTTTCCCGCGCTACCATGCCTGCAAAAAACAACCAAAAAATCACGGGCGTAAAAATTTGTCCTGGCACGAGCCTAGAATGCATAGAAAGTCTTATAACATAAAAATATCGTGAATAAAAAACTGAGTTCGTGATTCTTTTTCATATTTCCGACTCATACTTCTATAAAAATATTCTCTATGAACAAAATTTTCAAATAAGTACGACATTTTATGAGTAATTTTCAGGTCTATTCGCAAGGACGAGCTGAAAGCGCCACCTGCACAAAACACCTTACAAACGCTTATATAGTCTATGTTTCTATAAATCTATTATCGATTCCCACTCATCAGCTTTAATCGGTTTCTTCACACCTCACTCATATCGGCGCTAAGGCTTTGAGGCCCAATGTGAATTAAGGCCCAATGTGAATGTTTTCGTCAAAGCTTTAATTCGTTCCATTATTATTACGCAACACATCAAATAATGATCTCGTGATTGTGCGATTGTTGTACCGATGAAACTTTTCTCGTAGTATTTGTGAGCTTGTTGTATTCTTTCTAATTTAAGCCCATGGGCCTTAATTTTTTATTCACCTTCAAAAGTGAGCTTATCTTGTAAAGGTTTTTCTCAAACCCATACTATTTCTTTTACTCTAGCGGGCTTATATTGGAAAATTAGCTTCAAATAGCGACAATACGGCGCTTGAAAATTTTACAAATGCTTTATTTAAGGCATAATAGGACATACCGTAAACTTTCTATTTAGAGCCCCATCTAATTTACGCCCCGTCCAATTATGCTATCGGAGTTAAGCTGAATAATTATTGGCCAT